GGGAAAAAATTACCTCCCCCTTTCAGACCCATCGTCTTCCCTAAACTCCCTTCCCCGACGAATTCCTCTTCGATTCTCCGGCAAATGCAGCGACGCCCGGTCGGCTAAAGACGCCGTCGCTGATTGTTGGAATCCTCCTTCCCTGACTCCTCCTTCTCCCTTCCCTTTCGATTCCCCTTCACTTTTTTCGTCCTTGTAATTAATTTTTTAGAGTTATTATTATTTTATTTTTTTGTAATAAGAATTATTAATTTTATTAATCGAAATAAAACAAAATTCAAAAAAAATTAATTTTTAATGTCCTTAAAACTGACCTGGCGGGTGAGGTGTACATTGACTAACGGTCAAACCCGCCTCCAGGACAAATGAGGAAGTTTGCTACATAGTTCAGGCCATAGTAGCAATTTTCAATACCACGAGCCAAAGTAGAAAGTATGTGTATAGTTCGGGCCAAACTAAGGTATTAACCCTTTATTTTTCAAAGGTAATTGAATGTCAAATGTTTATTTCCTATCTTTTCATATATATTTTCTTTAATCGATAAACATATTATTGTTTATGTGTATGTTTGTTTAATTTTTTCTTCAAAATGTAACTTATCATTCAAGTTTGGTAAAAATGAGTAGAAAATTTTATTTGAAAAATGTGATATATGTCACTCTGTTTTCTATTTATATTTTGTTTACTTGACAAAAAATTATTATTTATGTGTATTTGGTTAAGTTTATCAACATGAAACTTATTATTAAAGAAAAAAAGAAAAAGAATAAATGGATAAATGAAAAGGAATAATTGGATAAAACAAATGAAAATATTAAAGAAGAGAGAGGTAGCTCCATAAATACATTAATAATTAATTTTTTTATTTGTAAAAAAGTTGTCCAACTTGGCAAATTGTGGATCCTCTAAGTGCTTATGTGGCAAGAGATCGTTTTTGTATTCTTATTTATTTATTGTTCATGTAAATTATAATAATATGCATGGAATTTTTAATTTTAATTACCTTACTTCAGCTATAGTGTCACACGTTTTTATCTATCGTTTATTTATTAAAAAGTTAATTTTTCTAAATTAACTATTTGTAGACCTTTTGTTTATTGATTTATAATTTGGTATCAAAACTCCTGCATAAGACATAAGTATTAGATGTCATAATTATAAAAACAGAAATAATTATATCACACGTTGATTTTTTATCGCACTCATAAAGAATATTACAATCTAAATTGTTTTGTATATCATGCAACATTAGTTGTCTTTACACTTTTGAAAGAGAGGGGAACCACATTTTCATTCACATCGTCGATCTTCAGCTTACTCATTTAATTTTCCTTGAAAATATTTAACAAAACCAACAACAAAACTAACTATCAGTTGCAAAAAAAATATATAGAAGAATATATTCAACAAACCAAACCGTTTATACACACAATTTATATTTAGTAGAGAGCTACAAATTCCCTACGCTGCATACTGGTGCTTTTTATCTAATATTCGAACAGATGAATTATGGAAGTCGCGAACTTCAATACAATTCAGATCATTCTATCTTGCATAGTCCACATTCATGAACTGGGTTTGATGCATCAATCAACTTCAAACAATAGTAGATAAGAAAATAGTTAGGCCAAAATCAAAGCTTTAATTAGGGATTCAATTAGACCAAAATCAACACTAAGAAAATAAACTGTTGTCGTTGGAAATGTGTAGAAATTTAAAGAACATCGACACAGACAACCTAGAGATCACCACCACCATTTTGTATTCATCACCTTTATAAAACCCACATATATTTCCTTCTATTTATAACCACACTGCTACATACTACTCACTTATCGTATCATCATTATATAACTAGGTAGTAGCATGTTGCTCTTGAACGTAACAAACATAAACAAACATCCTCTGATGGAGTTTGGCAAGATGACAACCCTCATAACTCTGTTTTCCATTTAGTATTCAAGGAATCATGTTGCGATAGGCCTCCAAGGAAAATGATCAATTGTTCAACCCAAAAAGACATTCTCTAAGTCCCATAAATTAACCCTTCCAAATATCTATTACCTATTTTTATATAAGGCAAGAGAGAGAATCATATCAAACTACTTGGCAACCACCAAGGGATGGTGGAGGTGGTAAAGGCGCAGGATTGTGACTAGGAGGTCATTGATCGATCCTTGGCACTCGCCACTTTTGTGTTACCCCTTGGTGGCCACCGCCAAGGCTGTAAGCTCGTATTAAAATTTCCCAGAGTTTTCGGGTATCTATGGGGGTTGAGGTTTGTTGTCGCAAGATGGATTTCTCCTCATATTGAATAAACTACTTGGAAAATGAAGAAGAAATACATTTGCAAAATCTAGTGGAAAACTTACGACCCCACCCCCATAATTTGGAAGAAATTAAGAAAAGAATGGGAAGAGATAAATGATGGGCAGAAGAGTAGAACTCGGTCAGTTAATCGCAGGCAACCACAGATTGTTCAGGAAGAGAGATCAATCACCAGTTGTGCATCAAGGGGAAAAGAGAACAGTCGACAATGCTTCGTGTTCACAAATATATGATGAACTTTCCCCCATCAACAACTCAAAAATATGTTACAAGTGCTCAATCATTTTTCATTTAACCGTTGCTTCATGTAACTCCCTCCCTATTATCTACAAACAAACAAAACCACATATATAGTATTATTTCCTTCCTTTATCATTCACTACAAAAAAGGCAGACAGTTGTGACGAAAACTTACTGACGACTCAGAAATTGTGTAAAAAAAGGTGCATAATTCCGACGAACAACAATTTTAGTTAGTACTATATACATCATTACTTACAGAGTTGAATTTTCGTCAATAATTGTGAATTTTTCGTCATTAATATGTATATTGGGCCGGTCTAAATTTTCCACATTCATTATTTTTGACGATTTCGTTTTCCGCATTAGAAATACTTAATATTAATGACGAATAAAATATTACCGTTAGAAAAAATGATTATTATTGACGACCAAGAAACTATTGTAAAAAAAATAATTTTAACGCCATAAACAGTTCGTTAGCACTAATTGGTGAGAAAAAATTATTTTTGACACCGTTAAAAGTTCGTCAATACTATTTGGTTAGAAAAAAAATCATTGTTGACGCCATAAACAGTTCATCAATACTGTTTGGTCAGGAAAAAATCATTTTTCACGCCATAAACAGTTCGTCAATATTGTTTGGTAAGAAAAAAATTAGTGACGAATCGAAAAGGCATCGGAAATATTGGTAATTTCTGACGATATAACATAGTCAATGGTAAAACATTGTCAGAAAAAAAATTTCACCATTCATACAAAATTAATTACTATCGACACATTTTTTCTTCAAAAAAAAGCCAATGGTTATGTACGAAGATGATTCGAGAAATGACCAAGTGGTATGTAAGGAGATGGAACGAGAACGATGGGTTTCCTATGGAACAACACTTAACCGTAACTCTATTAAACACATTTTGTCTATATAAAACATACACAAAATTCAGTTAGTCTCAATGTTTAGCATGCATCCTAGTTGTAAGAAGTGATAGGTTCGAACCCCACCCTTTGCAAAAAAAAAAAAAAAAATTCAAGAAAACCCTAACCGGAATACCCTAAACCCTATACCTATACCCTAAATCTTGAATCGTTACCATAATTTGTTAATTACCTTAAACCTACTCACTCAAAAAAATTTCGATAAATGTTACTAAACTACCCTTCATCCTCAAAACTTGGTCTTGTCCAGATTATTTCATCTTCTGTCTCATTTTGGATTGGATCGATTGAAATATTATTTTCTTCTCCATCTTCTTTTTCATTAGAAGGCATTTGAAACAAATTTCTTAGCGTTGTTTCCAACACGATTTTCCAATCAGGGTCTCTCAAACACTGCACATAGTAAACTTGAATTGCTTGACTTGCTATAACAAAGGGCTCATCAGTTTTAAGCTTACATTATGTGTTGATAGTAACAGTTGCCTGCCTATCCTTCTTGTAACGAACACATTTTCGAGATGTGTCGTACCACTCGCATTGAAATGGCATAACTCGAAGCCCTTCGGTATAACGAAGCTCAATGGTACCAATGAGAACGTCATAGGAATTTTACCCGCATTCTCCCCTCTCACTAAGACACCACGGTTCTGACTCTTTTCTTGGACTCGTGTTCTCTAATGTAAAATAGAGAATCAGTCTAGTGCTCAAGCTAAATGTAACAGAGAAGGATTCAAACTCGGAGCTATTCTTGTGTATTCTTGTAATCTTCTTTGTAAAGAGAAGAATAAATTAGAAAGCTATTTTACAAATTTATATATCAAACTTGTTGGTAGTTAATTAATACGGTAATTAAGTACCTCTGATAAAAACTAATTAGGAAATTCTTCCTTGTGCACTTGTTCAACCATACGAACACCACGGGTGCTTAGTGTTCCTTGTGAATCTTATAGTATACATATTAAAACATATATTATTAATTAATTTGTAGGAAATTACTTCAACTTAAAAAAAAATTATAACATAAATGGATGAAATTGTGATGTACTATTTAATGTTGCATCTCATCACAGTTTTGTAGAATATAAGAAGTTGTTGCATTCGACAAAGGAGTGTCCAAGTTCTCATGTCATCCTTTAGACTAATCGCACGTACTAAACCCGGAATAACTGATAACTTATGAAATAATTATCTGCATTCCTCTCCGCCGATTAAAATAATAAAACCCCTTGTCAAAACAAAATAAAGTAAAAAAATTAAAATAGGTGGATTTTGAAAGGAAGATCAAACGTCAAGTATCCTTCTCTCACTGTGGCTAGTTTTGATTCCAATAAACTAAAAACAAATTAAATAAATTGACCCCCTCTATGCGCATTACATGTCGCCCATAATTGTAATTCTAGAATATCCCAACAAATCTCAATAGTCCAAGGGTGTATTGCACAAAGTTAAGGATCGAGTATATAAGCCCTTGAAATCAACAAAATGAAACCCTAATCTATCTAAAACCTAGCCGCCTCCGTCGACCCATTCTTCCTTCTATTCTTTCTGGAAATCGGACCAAAGAAATAAAGTAATCCCTTTTCCTTCGTCTCTCTTCCATCTCGATCTGCTTCACCACGCCCTTCATTTCCTCTCGTCGTTCATGTTCTGTGAAGGCCAATGAAAAGGAAAATACCTATTCGAGTCTCCCTTCAACCCTCGACCTCGATTTTCCAGTCCTGAGTCAGAAACTTCAACCGCGACGATGGAGAAGGCGGCATCTGGGCAACGTAACAATTTCATTGAGGGATTTGCTTTCGATTTGGTTTGTGATTTTATTTTGATTTGGATTTGTAGGCTGGTCTGTTTTGATTTGATCGAAGGAGAAGAAAAGGGGAAGGCCAGTGATTCTAGACCTTACCGGCAGCCAAATGCATCGCCGATTAGAACTCACTTGGCAACGATGCCGCCGTCGACGGCAGAAAAATAGCTCTGGCGAGGACCCTCTGATAAGTTTGGTTTGAGATTTGCATGTATTTAGTCTATTTACTTTATAGGGTTTTTAATTATTTTTTATTTTTGTTGGTTTTCGGACGAAGAGGGGGTAAAATAGTAGATCGGCGCTATCTGTTCCAAGTTTTGCCAGCAGGCAGCAACGAAGGTGACGATGGCAGAAGAACATAGACAACAACCTTTCATTGAATTTGCTTCGGCATCGATAGGGAGCCGATTTCAGTAGATTTGGGGGTTTTTTGTAAATAGATCTACCCTTGCTGGAGTCGGGTTGCGTGGAACTGATTGGAGTATTATTGTCTTTTGTTTATAGATCTATGTTTGTGAATGCATTGGTAGTTTTGTTAATTCAAATATGAAGATTAATAATAATTTGTATTCTTGTACTGATAGGAGTATTGTTCCTGTACTCTAATATTCTTTTTGTGCATTTCGCGATTTAAATGAAAATAAAACTCTCTAATTCTAATATTAAATGAAAAAGCTTATTTTTTATGATAAATAGTTGTCGTTGGCAAATATAACTTTTCCGACGACACGTTGGAAAAAATAGTTCTAACGAAGGTTTGGTGGCATCAGTAAAAATAATATTTTTGACTAAATCGTCGAAAATAATAAATTATTGACGCCCTAACAACCTCACAAATGTGTGTACAACGTATCAAAAAAATTTATCGGCCTCAAATTCTCGTTACAAATATTTTTTCCGACGATTTGTTAACGTTAGTATAAATAGTATTTATGACGGCTTGTCAGGAATGCTTAATTATTAACGCATATAATTCGTCAAAAATGAGTAAATTTGCCGTCAATAAAAAAATTCGTCAAATTCAGCCATCATGATGTATTTCAATTGTGATGTCATTTTTATTATTATTATTAACAATTCTATGTCGTCGATACTATTTTTGTTTTGACGACTGGTCAGTAATATTTTATTAGCGACGGGACAATTTCTTACGGCGTCCGACGATTGTATGTCGTCAAAAAAGGTCATTTCCGACACAATTTGATTAATTTCGTCGAAAAACATGTCATCGGTAATGACTGTCTTTTTTGTAGTGATTGTGTAAAAAGTAAAGAAGATAAATGCTAGAAATCTAAAAAATAATTTAGTAAATAAGAAGACAGTTTTGTTTGTTTTACGGAACTTGATCCAATTTTATCCCCCTTTTCAATGTTGGATTTTCTTTTGAGAGAGAGTAGCTTTCAACAAAGAGATAGAAGAAAACCAAAGATTGCATTGATTGGAAATTTAACATTGTTATTAACTCAATTTATGTTATATTTAAATTTACTTCATAAGGTTTAATCAAATACTTTTTATTTGAACAAATGTGATATACGTCACTCTCTGCTTTCTATTTATATTTTGTTTACTTGACAAAAAATTATTATTTATGTGTGTTTGGTTAAGTTTATCAACATGAACTTATTATTAAAGCAAAAAAGAAAAAGAATAAATGGATAAATGAAAAAGAATAATTGGATAAACGAAATGAAAATATTAAAGAAGAGAGAGGTAGCTCCATAAATATATTAATAACTAATTTTTTTGTTTGTAATAAAGTTGTCCAATTTGGCCAATTGTGGATCCTCCAAGTGCTTATATGGCAAGAGATTGTTTTTAAATTGCCATAATATATAGTATAGATAGATATAGATAGATAGATAGATAGATAGATATAGATATAGATATAGATAGGTAGATATAAATATAGATAGATAGATTTCCAACATTCAAGTTCAAGGCCATGCAAAATGTAAGGAGTCGTTGATTCTTTGGTACCTGGGGCTAAAATTCAAGATGTAACCCCATACCAAAAGCAATACATAATTGATGACATCATACTTATGGAATTACACAATAAAAGTACAGTACTTAAGTAAGCAAGCAGCATGTGTCTCAAGGTTTTCAAACATCAAAAGAAATACTTTTTCTTTTTGCAACGTAATTTTTTATACCAATGAATCCAAAAGTTTACACAAAAGCAATAAGAATAAATTTGGTTTCAGATAGTTAGAACTTAGAACCATCTTTTTTGTTATATAACAATATCAATATCAACGACTTGCACAAAATAACCCAGCCAGATGAAGAATTAAATTATGTAGAATCATAGTAAAGCCATGAATAGGGGTAGCAAGACTAACAATGTATCATGTGCTAACTTGGTTGCATACAGTTAATTATGGTCAATTGTTGCCACATTAACCATGAAATCATCAGAACTCCTCATAACAATCTGAAACAGCTAATTATGGTTATTTGTTAGTGCATCCAGTATTCAAAAGCTAGATACCTCTACAACCAATCTCAAACCATTAACAGTTAATTCCGGAATCACCTGATGTTTACATTTACTCGAGGTTTATAATGCGTATTGCTTGAGACAGTTGGTAAACAAATTCACAATCGAAAGCCTACCTACATATTCAACCAATCCCAAAGCATTAATAGTTAAAACTGGAACAACCTGATGTTTGGAGACGCTCCAGTGTTATATTGCTCATTTTCTTCTTCTAACTTTATTAGAGATATTATGTATCAATTTGTAATAAGTACAAAATTACGTAGATAGAATGTAATTAGGCTAGATACTATTAAGTAATTTAGTTAGGTTAGTTAGAGACTTGTAACTAATTTCTTCTGCTTTGTAGATAGAGTATAAAAACCAACTACTCTTGCTGAACAATGTTAGTTTGTTTTCATTCTCTCAATCAAGCAAACAGGAATTCATCAGAAATCTGACATGGTATCAAAGCTCTCCTGAGCCGTTTTCCGTCTCTCTTTCTCGCTTCCGCATCTTCTTCTTCGTCCTCATTCTTCTGTCTTGAGTTCATCGTCCTCCTATGGCGATTCATGATTCCTTCTATGCAATCTGAATGATAGCTTTAATGGCCCTAGATCCACAGTTATGCTCTTAGAGCCTTTGCCACCATTAACAAGGTGTTTGCCATGATGGTACAACACGAGAGGGAGAATGGTTTGTTGCCTAAGCCACAGCCTGTTCCTAACCCTGCTTCGAACAGTATGGCCTTCTTTACTAAGGCATCAGGGTCACATTTAGGAGTTCAGCATACTGGTCAAGGGTTCAAGAAACAAGGGAAGAAACCCGTTTGCACATTCTGTGGCTACACTGGGCATACAGAGGATGTGTGTTACAAAAAGAATGGCTACCCGCCTGGATATCAGTCTAAGAAAAGGCAGCAGAATCCCAGACAGGCGAATAGTGTTTCCACTGATATAGCTTCATCATCCAATGGTTCTGTCATGATCAATCAATCAGATTGGCAGAGTTTTCAACAACAGTACCAGAAGATGTTGAACTTTATGAATCCTCAAGTCCAGCAAAGCAACTAAGCTCCTTCTCAGAATCAGTTTCCTCCTCAACAGAATCAATTTTCTGTTCAGCAGCATTTTGTCCCAGCTCCAGCTGCTTTTTCTGATGCCTACAAGGTTAATAATTCTTCTCACTATTCAGTATCCAACGAAAGTGAGGGTTATGGGCAGCATAACATTGTCAGCAGAGCTAACTCTGTTGCTTCTCATGATTTTGAAGTCCCTGACTCTACAAGTACACTTCACTATGCTTCTACTGTTAACTGCCATATTCAGGATAAATGGATTTTAGATACAGGAGCAACAGATCACATTATCTGTTCTCTTGCTCATTTTTTGCACTCTCAACCTGTTTCTAATGTTTTTGTCCATATGCCTCATGGCAGTAAAGTAGTAGTGACTGATAGGTGTTGTCCAATACTCAGAACATCTTATTTTGACTGATGTTTTGTTAGTCCCTTCTTTTAGCTTCAAACTAGTTTCTGTGAGTAAACTGGTCAGAAGTACAACCATCTGCTTATGGTTTCACTATTCCTTGTGCTTTATACAGGCTTACCCCAGTTTGACAATGATTGGAACAACTAGTTTGGTTGATGGCCTTTACTTACTCCATCTTCCATCTCAGACCAAACAACTTCAACATAATCTCCAGATAAACACAAAACCTGCCTATCCTTCCAGAATTGCATACTCTTCTTCTCAGCCTAGTATAGATATATGGCATTATCTCCTTGGCCATGTGCCAGACTGTAAACTTTCCTAGTTTAGAACCATTGATAGTAACATCTCTTCACTATCTGGTTTTCATTGTACTGTCTGCCCTATGGCAAAGCAAAAACGACTTCCTTTTGCTATTAGTACAAGTAAAACTTCAGCTCCTTTTGATCTCATACATGTTGATATATGGGAAAATGCCCCTGCTCTGTCTTTTCAAGGCCATGCCTATTTTCTTACCATTGTGGACGACTTCATTTGTCATACATGGATTTTCACCATGAAACACAAATCAGAAGCTCGTCCAACTCTTATTAATTTCTTTGCCTTCATAGAAACACAGTTCAAAGCTAAAATTAAAACAATTCGTACTGATAATGGTCTTGAATTCCACATTCCAGACTTCTCTTCTTCCAAGGTATCATTCACCAAACCACTTGTGTCTATACCTCTCAAAATAATGGTATAGTGGAAAGAAAATATAAGCACATTTTAGCTGTTACTCGTGCTTTACTTTTTCAAGCTTCCTTACCTGCTCAGTTCTGGAATTTTGCTGCAATGCATGCAGTTCATCTTATAAACAGAACTCCTTCTACTCTTATTCAGAACTCCACTCCATATGAAAAGTTACATGGTGTGCCACCAAGTTTGGCTCATCTTAAGGTTTTTGGTTGTCTTACTTATGCAGCAACCATTCAAGCAACTCGAAGTAAGCTTGATCCTAGGGCTCAGCCCTGTATTTTACGTGGTCATCCACATGGAACAAAGGGCTTTAGATTATACAGTTTAAAAACTCATAATATTCTCATATCCAGAGATGTTTCATTTCATGAAACCATCTTTCCATTTCAAAATCCAAGTCAAATAACAGATAATACATTTCCATTACCTGTTTTTCCATATGTTTCTTCAGACTTAGATTTTGTAAAAGATCATACTGAGTTCACCACTGAGTCATCTCAGCCTGTCATTCCTTCATCAATTCCTATGTCTCAACCAGTTCCTGGGTTGCCTTCACCAAATCATGTTCCTGCTTCACCTTCTATGGTTCCTACTGATCTGCCTCCATTAAGGAGATCAACTAGACAAATTATCAAGTCAATTAAGTATAAAGATTACAAATGCAATCTGGCTAGTCAAGCAACCTTGTTTTCTAAAACTAGGTGTACAATACAGGCAATGCTTTCTTATAGCTCTCTTAGTACTTCACACAAAAGATTTGCCTTAGCAATTTCACAGATCAGGGAACCTAGAACATACAAAGAGGCTGCTCAATCACCTGAATGGTTAAAAGCAGTCAACTCTGAGTTTGCTTCCTTGGAAAAATCCAAAACTTGGGTTCTTGTATACCCTCCTCCAATGTCCCCATTATTGGAAACAAATGGGTTTTCGATTGAAATTTAAACAGGATGGTTCTATTGATAAATACAAAGCTAGGTTAGTAGCCAAAGGCTACACACAAACACCTGGGGTTGATTATTTGGATACTTTCTCCCATGTGGTTAAAATGACAACTGTTAGGATTATTTTAGCCCTTGCAGCTATATACAAATGGCATCTAGAACAACTAGATGTAAACACAACCTTCCTTCATGGAGATCTCAATGAAGAGGTCTACAAGAAATTACCACCTGCCTTCCAGTTGCTCCTGCAGACAAAAACAAAGTTTGCAAGTTAACTAAGTCCCTCTATGGCCTCAAGCAAGCTAGCCGACAGTGGTTTGCTAAACTTGAAGCCACATTAGAGAGCTTAGGTTATAAAAAACCACACTGTGATTACTCTTTGTTTACAAAACACCACAACAAATCCTTTACTGGCCTTCTTGTCTATGTTGATGATATCATCTTAACTGGAAATGACATGACAGAAATAAAACATGTAAAGCATCAGTTAGATCTTGCTTTTACAATTAAAGACATTGGACCTCTCAAATACTTCCTTGGCATGGAAGTTTCTAGGTCTGACAGTGGCACTCACTTATGTCAAAGGAAATACACACTCGATTTATTGTCTGATACAAGATTCTTAGCATCCAAACCAACTACTACACCATCTATCCCTGGCACATATTTATCTGCTAAAGATGGAACTCCATTAAATGAAACAAACCACAGTAGTTACAGAACTCTGATTGGTGTTTTCAGTATCTATGCACTACACGCCCTAATATCTGTTACACTGTTAATCAACTTAGTCAATTTGTTGATTCTCCTACTATAGTCCATGAACAAGCTACTCATAGATTGTTGTGATATCTAAAAACCACTCTTGCTCGTGGATTGTTCTTCCCCTCCAACTCCTCTCTTCGTTTGACTTCTTTTTCAGATTCTGACTGGGCTGGCTGCCCTGATACTCGCAGATCAATGACAGGTTTCTGTGTATTCTTAGGCAATTCACTCATTAGCTGGCGTTCCAAGAAGCAGCAAACCATCTCTAGATCTTCAGCCGAGGCAGAGTACAGAGCCTTATCCGATACTTCTCAAGAACTCCAGTGGATGACAGCCCTGTTCACCCAGCTACCTATTCAATCTCAGCAACCACACACAATTTACTGTGTCAGTCTTTCTGCAGTAAAAATGACGCAGAATCTAGTTCAGCATGAACGTACAAAACATATAGAAGTAGACTGCCATTTCACTAGAGATCAGGTTCTTGCTAACAAGTTGAAAGTGCAGCACATTTCTACAACTTTGCAGCTAGCCGATCCGTTCACTAAAGCTCTGCCAATCCACACTTTTGTTGACCTTATCTCCAAGCTTAACCTGAAATCCATTCACGTTTAGCTTGAGGGGGGGGGGGGGGTATTAGAGATATTATGTATCAATTTGTAATAAGTACAAACTTATGTAGATAGAATGTAATTAGGCTAGGTACTATTATGTAATTTAGTTAGGTTAGTTAGAGACTCGTAACTAATTTCTTTTGCTTTGTAGATAGAGTATAAAAACCAGCTACTCTGGCTGAACAATGTAAGTTTGTTTTCATTCTCTCAATCAAGCAAAGAGGAATTAATCAGAAATCTGACAAACTTCAAACAGACCTACATTCTAGTCCAATAAAGAACCGTAAGGACATTACCGAACAAAGCAAATAAGCAGAAAGCTTCATTTTCTGAATACGGCTATTGATTTGAATACTGGTAGGCCTTTACATATACCGGCTAAACCTGTACTCACTACACTTGTCGACTGTAGAGCTTGTATTCCGTTGAACGTACAAATTGCAAAGCGTCAATGGAGAGGAAGCGTCAAAGCGGGAAGCAACAACGAACTCCTTCAAACGTCACTGGAGAGGAAGCATCAACGAACTCCTTCAGATCTGCATCAACATAATGCGGATGAGGAGAGGAAGTGGTCGATGAAGAGGAGGGAATTAGAGATAGATTTGCGATGATAGTTGCTGGCTACCGATCTGGTAGTTCGAAATAGATTTGCGGGCAGGCAGGCTTTCACACTTGGATCCAAGGACGAATTCTTCACTTGTGAAAGAAGAAGGAGAGTGAAAGCAACATTGCCATACAGGGAATTCGGCCGTGGCCTGCTGTCATAGTGGCCCATTTCAGGCCCAATTTAGTTAATTCATGCCCCGTTGGTCTCCAATGGAAGGAGCCCTCAACTTGAAAGACACAAAACGCAGCACTTCATTAAATATGTAGAGACTAAAATGCCATTCCGTGAAGAGTCACCTTTTTTAATCCCTAAAATTTGGATTCATGAATATGCTTCATAAATTTTATACATTTTCACCACTACTTGCTCCAAATCTACTTAAATTAATTTCTTAATCAAATATCGGATCGGACAACAAAATATGTGTCGTTAGGTATAGTGCTCTTCGATTCCCCCAATAGGGAAATCCGCCTTGGGATTGATTTAGTAAATTAAATAGTGCTAATTATTGTTGGGTTTGAGAAAGATATGTAATTGGGTGCTTAATTATAACATATATATATATATTAGATTATATAGCAACATCAGAGACTAATATAAATTAAGAAGAAAGAAAAACTACTAAGGGATAGTGGAGATGGTACAAGCTCAGATTTGAATTTAGAAGTTCCTGAGTTCAAGTTTTGATAGTCGTCATTTTTGTGTTATCTTTTTGATAGCTACCTACAGGATTGTGTGCCGATTGAGTTGTTCCTATAAGTTCGCCGAATATTCATAAGAGCCAAAATTTTCATGTATTTGACGAATTCTCTCATAAAAATATAAAATATATATGGGTTAATAGCATTTTCTACCTTATATAATCGCAAATTAACAAACGTCTCTGAAGGTATGCCTCTGGACGATCAATTTCAAGTTTCTTGCATTATTGATAAGCTGCCCCCTTCGTGGAAAGATTTTAAGAATATGCTTAGACATAAAACCAAAGAATTTTCACTGGAAAGCTTGATTACTCGCCTAAGGATTGAGGAAGAGTCCCGCAAGCAGGATATGAAAGAAGAGGTGATGGTCGTCACTGCTAAACGACCCACCCCTAGAGCTCTTAAACCTAACCAGAAAGGGTTTAAGAGTAAGAATCAGCAGGTCCGCCCCCACCAGAATGGTGCCTCTCGAGGTAACCAAAGGGTCATGGCCCAAACCTCTAAGAATGACCCACCGGTTATCTGCTATAACTGCGGTAAACCGGGTCATATGGCAAAAAAGTGCAGGAACAAGCAAAACCCTGCTGCTACGGCCAGTTAACTTGACAGAAGAGGATTTGATAGCCATGATCATAGATATGATCACTGAAGTCAACCTCACCGGTGACTCGGAAGGATGGTGGCTGGATACAGGTGCATCGAAGCATGTATGCAACAATCGTGCTATGTTTAAAACATACACAGAAGCACCTGCTGATAAGAAAGTGTTGCTGCGGACTACTCACACCACTATGGTTGCTGGTTCTGGTGAAGTGGAGCTGAACTTCACCTCTGGGAAGAAGATGGTGCTCAAGGATGTGTTGCACACTCTAGAGATAAGGAAGAATCTTGTTTCGGGATATCTTCTTAGTAAGGCTGGGTTTAATCAATCTATTGTGGCAGACTTGTATACCCTTACTAAGAATGAGAGTTTTGTGGGAAAGGGATATGCATGTAATGGGATGTTCAAGTTGAATGTCGAAATTAATAAGATGAATTCTTCAGTTTACATGGTGTGTGATTTGAATGTTTGGCATGCTCGTCTTTGTCATGTGAACATACGAATTGTGAAGAATTTAAGCAAGCTAGGACATATCTCTAAACTCTCAATGAATGAATTTGATAAATGTGATTTCTGTGGCCAAGCTAAAATAACGAAAACGCACCATAAATCTGTGAGTAGAGAATCATAACCCTTAGATTTGATTCATTCTGATATTTGTGAACTAGATGGGATGTTAACTAGGTGTGGCAAGAGATACTTTATCACTTTCATAGATGATTGCTCTGATTATTGCTTTGTTTATTCGATGAAAAACCAACGTGAAGCCCTTGATATGTTCAAGGTATTTGTGGTTGAATTTGAAAATCAGTGCAATCGAAAGATAAAAAGACTTAGGAGTGATAGAGGATCAGAGTATAACTCTAATCCCTTCAAGTAATTCTATAGCTCACATGGTATCATTCATGAAACCACGGCACCATATTCACCAGAAATGAATGGTAAAGCTGAGCAGAAAAATGGGACGTTTACAGAATTAGTTGTGGCTATTATGCTCAATTCTGGAGCTGCTTCTTCTTGGTGGGGTGATATTTTGTTGACAGTTTGCTATGTGCTAAATCCTCTTCCAAAAACAAATAGAAAAGAATCACCCTATGAGATCTTGAAGAACAAGCCACCTAATCTGTCCTATTTAAGAATGTGGGGCTGTTTGGCCTACGTAAGAATTTCGGATCCTAAGAGGATTAAGTTGGCTAGTTGAACATATGAATGTGTCTTCGTTGGATATGCGGCCAATAGTAAGGCATATAGATTCTATGATTTGAATGCTCTTACTATAGTAGAATCCATTGATGTTGATTTCTTTGAGACACGATTTCCATTTAAAACGAGAAATAATGGGGGTAATGTACTACCCGCTATTAGAGATAACGGAACTAGTGGGGGTGTTGGATCCGAGGATGAACTCAGAAGAAGTAAAAGAGCTAGAATCTCTAAAGATTTTGGTGATGACTTTACTACAGTATACAACCTCGAAGATCCAAAAAGTTTGCAGGAAGCATTAACTTCCATAGATGCAGACTTTTGGAACGAGGCTGTTATAGATGAAATGGAATCATTAGAAGCTAATAAGAGTTGGCATCTAACAGACTTACCTCCTGGCTGCAAAGTCTTAGGTAATAAATGGGTTCTAAAAACGAAACGGAAACCTGTGGTGCAATCGAAAGGTTCCATGCTCGCCTAGTAGTTAAGGGCTACAGGCAGAGAGAAAATATAGATTTCTTCGATACCTATTCACCGGTATCAAGAATAACATCAATTCGTGTTATGATTGCTCTTGCTGCCTTGAACAATCTCGTTGTACACCAAATGGATGTTAAGACCGCTTTTTTTAACGGTGATCTGGATGAAGAAATCTATATGGAACAACCAGAAGGGTTTGTTATCCCCGAACATGCCTCGAAAGTCTGTAAGTTAGACAAATCATTATATGGTTTGAAACAGGCTCCAAAACAGTGGCATGAGAAGTTTGACACTCTCGTTCTCTCACATGGCTTTAAGGTTAATGAAAGTGACAAGTGTATTTACTTCAAGTCAGAAAGTAACACTTGCACTATCATATGTTTGTATGTAGATGACATGTTGATATTTGGTACAAATATTCACGTGGTCAATGAAGCAAAGCCATGTTGAAAGAGAGTTTTGAGGTGAAAGATCTGGGAGAAGCAAAGTTTATGCTTGGAATCCAGATAACCAGAACAGCAAATGGTTATTCTCTTGATCAATCTAGCTACATAGAGAAGATCTTGAAGAAATATAACTATTTCGACTGTAAACCTGTGTGTACTCCGTATGATGCTAGTGTAAAGCTATTTAAGAACACCGGAGACAGTGTAAGACAATCAAAATATGCTAGCATCATTGGCAGTCTCAGTTATGATGCGGATTACATTCGACCAGACATTGCATATGTCGTGGGATTGCTTGGCAGGTTCAACAATTGTCGTAGTAGAGAGCATTGGAATGCTATAGAGAGGGTCATGAGATACCTCAAGAGAACAACAAAGGTTGCCTTGGTATACACTATGAAAGGTTTCCTGTTGTACTAGAAGGGTATAGTGATGCGGATTGGAATACCCTATCAGATGACGCCAAGGCAACCAACGGGTATGTTTTTAACATCGCTGGTGGAGCTGTGTCTTGGAAGTCAAAGAAACAAACAATCCTAGCTCAATCAACTATGGAATCAGAGATGATAGCACTAGCAACAGCTAGTGAAAAAGCAAGTTGGTTGAGAGGATTGTTGTCAGAGATTCCCCTATGGGAAAGGCCGGTCCCTCCGACATTGATCCATTGTGATAGTATCGCGGCTATAGCTAAAGTTGAGAACTGGTTCTATAACGAAAAGAAACGACAGATTCGTCATAAGCACAGTACTGTAAGAGATGTCCTAATGATAGGAGCAATGAGGGTGGATCATATAAGATCCGAACAGAATCTAGCTGATCCTTTGACGAAAGGATTACCTAGAGAGAAAGTCCAGAATACCGCCAAGGGTATGAGACTTATGCCTACCGAATAACGGAATACAAGTGATCGTAACCCAACCCAATAGACTGGAGATCCCAAGAAATGGGTTCAATGGGTAATAACAAGTCATGAGTAGTATGCGAAAAGTTCATGCATAGTGAAGCATGAATCCCAAAGCAATGTAGGTTGAGTTAATAACTCTTAATGAGATCTATACCCTATGTTGGTTGGAGTACTTTACTTTGGGGGTACTCCTGATAGACTCACCTATGTGAATGTGGGAATGGGGCCGCTCCCTATGGAACTTTGGAGGCACAAAGTTGCTAGAGCGTGACTAAACCAGGATAACGTGCATGGCCATAAACGCACGGGCTAAGAAGAGAACACAACTCAATGAAAAGATCTGGTGTTCTACACTGTCTGAGATAGGGTTCAAGACTACGAGTCACCCTTATGAAATCAGAAGTGTAACCACTACGCTAAGGTTCAAATCTTCGCGATACCTTAGCTTATGCCCGATCTTATGGAACTGTTAATGATAGTTTCAAAACTAATCAAGTGGGGGATTGTTGGAAATGTATGTATGAATAGCTTTGAAAGCTATAGAGTCTCAAGTGGAAAAACTACCACATTGGTAGTTTTACTTGGTGAAATGTGTATAAAGATAGGAGCCTCTCTCCAAAGAGCATGCCCCTTGGGGTGACCCACATTTGTGGGAGAGGGGGGACCTAACGGACCACCACACACACGGGTGCGCGCGCCATCCGACCGACCGGTCGGTCGGTTGATTGGTTGGTTCACTTGAGACTATATATATTTTTTTAGAGAAATTCCGAACGAAATTAATTATCTAATAATTAATTATTAATTGGTTATTCTGAGGAATATTCAAAGGATAATCGATTAAAAAGGAATATTCGAAGGATAATCCCACATGATTTATTTTAACCGATGGTTTTAATTAAGGAAGTAATTATCTTCCTTAATTAATCCGACTTATTCCCCAAGCTAGAGGGTATATTCCTAGGGTTTCGGCTCCTATAAATAGCCGCCTCCCCAGCCCCTCTAAACACACTACAACGAGCATAAACACAATAGAGAGAGTGTTTAGAGAGCTTCGGTTTTTGCACAAAACCGCGAGTACAAAGAGGAGCTGTTTTGTCCTGGAGACGACCGGTTGATAGTCTGCCATACGCATCGAGGGCAGTGTCGCGAACGTCTTAAAGAGAGCGACCTAGTCCGCGACTCAGCTCCAGATTCGGTAACCACGTTCTTGTTGTTGTTTCGTTCCTAACAGGTTCTCTTGCGGATGCTCTCCTCTCCAGCCGACACTCTCGTGGCTCGGTGGCTGCAACCAAGTCGATGCTCTCTTCTCCAGCCGATGCGCCCGCCGTTTCACCCGCTGCCGTCTATTCAAGATGTTAGGAAGGAAGATCGGGATGCGGCCGCCAACCGAAGTTTGTTGAGTCTTATCGGTGGTGGGATTTAAGGGGGCAGCGGAATTGAATTCACCTAACGTCGATCGGGGAGGTAGCAGCCAAGTAGAGGGATCAACCAGGTATCGGCGAGCTGTCCTTACTTCTCTAGCCGTAGGGCATGAGAAACCGGGAGCCGCGGCCGGGGATTGACCGGCTGCGGAGACTTCATGGGAGGAGGGGCTTGTGGAGACGATGCGTTGGGTAGAGGAATTTCTTAAGCGTTTTTTATTTATTTTAATTATAGTTTGACTATTAATAATTAAAACTAAATTAGCATGAGGGATAATAAAGTCATTCCCCACCCACTTAATAGGCATTTAACGGATAATTAGACATAATATTATATTTGTTATGTTTTAATAGTAGAAAAGTGCGTTTGTAAAAAAAAATTAGTAAATAAGTACATTTGTTAATTTACGATAGTAGAATGGTAGAAAATGCTATTAGCCCAAAATATATCAATAAAAAGAGATTGATCATGTTTGTAAAGGATTTGATCTTTGACTATGGCCCACCCTGTTATTGTATAGATTCGTGGAGTTTCCACTTCGACCAATGGGTGGGCTAGATTAGATACTAATGAGCCTTGTTGGACTACCAATTAGAGAGGTTTAGATATTTAACATCAACATCATTAGCTTTTAATTGCTAATTAGATCTGAACATTGACATATAATCGCATTTAAAACATGACAATTACATTTGGGAGTGAAATCAAGGGCACAGATCAACACTAGATTGCCGGATTATTTTGGCTTGGGTGGTTTTGAGATCCGCCCCATCAGAATCTATCATTGGCTAGCATTCCCATTTCTTAGTAGGCTATGACAATCTATCATAGAATGGATTGATAATCCGTGTATCTGTAAAGTATTTCACAGTGTCAAAGATCTTGTGTTTGAATTGCCCGAATGATGAATTTTGTTTCTTGAATGATGTATTTGTTCAATCATAGTGGTTTAGTGTAATCTTATTAGGTGAGATGCAGATATTTTGGATACTCTAGTTAGAGAAGGAAAATATGTCACCGTATGATCGACCAAAAGTTTGGTAAGGCATGAATTTACTTAAGTAGTTAAGTACAACATATGATAAACGCTCCTAACAGCATGTGTAATATCAAAGTTTTAATTTGGCGAGACAATGTGACTCTCCAATCCCAATAATTAATATGTTGGTTACTGCCTTTAAATCCAACCACCTTTATTATGGGGTGTTACCCGACCACTGATAGATGTATGAATCTCGTCTCCAACAGAATGCGAATTGTTGTTGTAGAAAGTAGAAACGCAGTTTAGGATCAAACTACAACGAGGTATGACCTTGTGGATCATGAAAAGGAGGCTTCCTTTGGGATGAAAGCACACCACAATTCTTCTTTTTTTTTTTTACCCGAGTAATGTCAAGACAATAGTTAGAAAGAACCACTACCCACAATCCCTCCCCAACCCACTAACAATTCACTCTACAAAATCAAAATAAGCTAACTATAACCGAGACAACAACAGGACTTTAAGTGCCACTCTATGAGCAACCCAGTTGGCAGTCCACGAAACCTCACTAAAATACACCACAATTCTCTTATCAATATGAAATGTGTATCTTCTATTGAAAGAAAGAAACCCACCGCAGCCCCTGGTACTGTACACGCAGACACCTTTTACTGTACAACGTGACTGGGAATTACTGTTTCAAACTGGCGTGGGCTGGCGTGTAGGCTGTTGTTGGGTGAGGCCTCATTGGGATCTGACGGAGTTTGGGGGCTCGGTCGGGGTGGGACTGGTCGTTAGCTTCTGGTTGGCCTTAGTTGGGGTCGTTTGGTGGCCCGGACGCGCGTTGGTCATCAGAGATCGGTATGTGACTTTGCCCCTAGCGGGTGCGCGGTCGAGGCTTAATCAGTTGCTCTAGGTGTTCTGCTCAGTGGAGAGATGAGTCGTTCGAGAGACAGAAAAGGATTCTTCAGATACACAGAGAGATATTGAGAGGGATGGGCTCGCGTTGTTCAATGCAGATAGAGGCTTAGAGAGGCTGGAGGGTTTTGGGGAAAGTACTGAAGTGACTGAGCTCTGCAGGAACAAATATCGATTTATTTGTGTCCACTCATTGCAGCTACGGAGCTACCGTCGCTTCTTTCTTTCTGTTTTCTTTTTCTACAGATTTTGGAAGAAGGCCCAAATATATGAGCGAAACTCTCTTGCGGTTCTCTCTCTCTCACACTCTCTTTCTCTTCTCTCCTCTCAACCCCTCTATTGCGAGGAGGTTCGTCAGAATCGCTGAGACCGTCGATGGATCGCCGGATTCCTCTCTCCCATGGTGAGAAAGGTTTGGAACTACAGATACACATGTATTTTTGACTCTCTATAGTGCTTTGGTTCTAATTTTATTTTTCGTTCTGATTGAGGGGATTCGACGGAGGTCGTACAGCCGCGCCCGGGCAATCCATGCCAAGTATTCTCCTGGAGGAACGTTGATCTCTCTGTGTGGGTGTAAGCTTGATGATTGTGGATGAAGATGGATCTCTCTAACGGAGTGGAGAATCTGAAGTTGTGCTTGCGAATTTGGCCCGAGGAATCCCTAAGTATGCCTTCTTAATTCTATCCCTACCTCTTTTATTTTTGTGCTTTCCAGGGAGTATCTCACTGTCTTCTTTTTCCTTTTCCCCTCATCAGTGAGGTCGACGATGGGTGATTCTGAGTTTCAAACAACGCAGTTAATCGTTGGTTGATCATGGTGGAGGTGACAAATCCATATCAACCAAATAGCAAAGGAACCAGAAGTCATGTAAGCAATGGTCCCTCTGTTTATTATTATTTTTTTTTTTTTGTTTTAGTTTGTTGATCCATTATTTTGTTCTTGCCAGTTTGCTATGCTTTTAGCTAGGTTTCTTTGGGTTCTTTCTATTTTGTTTCCCTGCAAATGACATTGTTTCGTCTCTTTTCAGGAAGCTGTGGGTAGACTTGGGCGATGAAATCTGCCCAATGGAACAACAATGTAGATTTGTGGAGTGGGGATGTGCCGGTCGGTTTTCAACGGGGTCCCCTCTCAACTGGGAAATGTCAGTGGGAACCTTGGATCTCATGAATACAACCAGGTTTATCGTGATGGTGTTGTGGCGCATATCACCATTCACAGCCCCGAGTGTTCCCTCTAATTCATTCATCTAATGCTTTCTTACTGGTATTTATCTGTCTAATTGTTCATTTATCGCAGGTGTCATGGTCATTTGTCAACATGATTTGTTTGAGTGAAACTTGGATTGAGCAGGATAATGGGTGATGTTGATCTTTTTCAGTTCTTTGCCAGGTAGGCTTTATATTCCGTTAATTTCCCGTTTTGTTTTGTGAATTTTGTTCGGCTTTTGCTTAATAAATCTCTTATATATTGGTTTTGATGGTTTGTTTTTCCTTTTTATAGCTTGAACTCAGAAACAATGTTGATCTTGATATTATTCTGCCAATTCAATGTGAGCTGTTTCCTTCTTTAGCTGATTTGTCTCTTTTGTTCTTTGTTTTTTGTGGTGTTTTGTGTCGGATTATGATATTGTGAACACTTGATTCTCATTATATGAAGAAAGCAACTTGATTATCATGCCCTGCTCTCTGTTTTTCATTATCAATGATTTCCTTATGCTGGCTTTGTTCGTTTGTTTCTTCATATGCAGGTAAAAGTTGATCTTTGATGTCCAGGTTGTTGGCAGAGGAACTTTGTTTTGTGAAGTAATGTCTGTTAATGTGGTCAATGGGTGAATTCAGGGTGCCATCTCTGACATCGTTGCTTTGATGAGCTTTTTTGGTGACATTTGGGTTGTGTATGGTGTTGAGTAGTTGAATGTGTATCATTTTATTATTCATGCGTGTTTAACAGAAACTGTTTGTAATGTATGGGCCTCACATTTATGGATAGTTCAGCATAGAAATGAATGATCACTTGATAGGGTGATGCGTGTTTTGCTCAAAATTGCATGCATACATTATGATTTTCGTTTGGCATTGTGTTGTTGAGTTCATCTTTAATATGCCTTTCTGGGAATAGTTGGTCCTTAAAATGGATAATCCGGCAAAGGTGGTTTTGTGTGAGTTTGGTAGCCATCATTATGACTAAGGTTTATTCTAATGTGCATATGTTTTCCCAAATTCGGCCGTGGAAATGGGATACATAATAGACCTATTGGTGTCTTGAATGATTAGATGGTTATTTTTGTTATTGCTTTTGGGGCTGAAAGGTATCGAACAAAACTCGAAATTATGCGATTTCTCTAATCACTCTAAAATCAACTATGTTATAAATAATCATCCGGAGAAATCTGGAATCCAACCATGTTCTTTAAGTACTTCAAATCCCGGCGCAAAGCGCCGGTAAAGAATTCTAGATTAGGACCAAAGTTGAATCCACCACAATTCTATGTCACATACCAACGATGAATTAGAAATGAATTAGTATCACGCGGCGGAGCGCGAACTTATTTCTAGTTTTCATCATAATCATCTAAAACAAGAAAGTGCTACCTTGGGAAATTGGAAAACTGTCAACAACCACACTATTGCTCCAGCTATGGGTAGAAAGTATAAGCCCAGAAGATTGGGCCAAGTTGAGCCCAGAGCCTCAAAGCCCGAACGATGATTCACTATATGAATCAACCAAATGGCGATGAAGCCCAGTTTTGCTTCTTTTATGTAAGCCTGGCCCAAACAAACTAATAAAGCCTACCTGTTGGAATCCTAGCCTGCCACGTAGCGAAGGCCTGATCCAATCCTTTCTCCATCCCACGGAACCGCCTCAACAGAAATTAGGGAGAGGCCGCGGGAACAATATTCTCCTTACGCCTGAGATTTCTGTTTCCTCCTCACCTGCGAAACAAAATGTCGAACATTGGAGTTGCCAAAGGGATTCTAGAGGTCGCGAAGTTCGCCGTGTACGTCAGCGTTCCAGTCTTTCTTATGAGTTTCGCCGCCGATACCAAGTTCATGAACAAATTAACCGGCAAGGTAATACTTCACTCTCTAATTCCTCCCTTCCCTTTCCCGGATCGATTTGGTTTCCACTCCTGAGATTCAATTCGCGCTTTCTATATGTTCTTCTGTTCTTCGCTTTGTTCAATTGACTCGGTGAAAAGCTCAGTGGGAAAGTGTTATGTTTGGGAATTAGGGTTCCTTGATTGGAAATCAATCTGCTGAACGAGGCCCATAGTTCTGCTGAATCGTTGGTGTAAGCTAGCTAGATCAATGGAAAATTTTGCTCCCTGCGTTCTTATTGATCTATATCAGTACTGAATAAACCAACTGTTAAGCAGAATCTGAACTAGAGGTTAGAATCCCCACTGGTCACGAATTGTCAGAACCTCTTGGCAAAATTTGATTCCAGTTGTTGCAAATGGAGCAAAAAGATGGAAACTTGGATAATACTGCCTGATTGGGAAAGCATTTCTAAGCACATTTAGTTACACAAATAGTGTTTTCGTGTGACGCCGTTGTTTACATTGTGTGTCGATTCTGGTTTTCTGATCATCAAAGTATGCATTATGAACTGAATCGGGGGATTGGTTTTCTTATTGCAGCGAGATTACATAGTGTATCCACCGGAAGCAGAGAGGCCGCAATCGCCAGAGGAACTCAGGGAAATGGCCAGACAACTAGCTCGAGAAAGGAAAGCTCAGTGATGCATTGCTGCTGGTAATGCTGTGAGTTTGATATTGTAACTTCTTTCTTCCCAGGGAGAATCACTATGAGTGTAGTAATATGCCGAAAATAATGCGTCGTTGGATTTTGTTTCCAGAACTGGAGTATGAATAAGTTTACGTTGTTTCAGAATTCAAATGTGTATTGTGGCTTCTGCTTGCTACTCTGTTTGTTCATAGATAGAATACGTAATGCTGGCCTGCTAGCCTGTGCAGGCTGTGCTGCAGTAGATTTTAAGACTGATAGGCGTGTCTGCAATTGCAGAGGTCTTAGTGTTCATGCTTCTCTCTGCCGTCGTGCCTGCATATATAAGTTTGCTTAGCCAGCCTTATTGTCACCTAAGTCGGCTTCTAGTTTTCCATCCTTCACATCCAGCATCAAACAACCTGTGCCTCAGCCATTCACTACTAGAGGAGAAGCAGCAACACCATCGATTGAGGTTGGCCTAATGAACCCTTTTCATTGGTTGGGTTTGAGAAATTGGGAAGCCGAATTTAGAATCCAATTCTTAATTGTGGGTTGGGGCGAGAGGCTTGTGGTGGTTTGTATGCATGTTTCTATTAAAGGAATGTGGAGTTGTGGGTATATTTTGCAAGCATGTTCAACCTTCATTCCATTCAAACTCTTTATTGCTTCTTGTCCTTCCAACTAACGAGAGGAACCCACGAAGGCAGAGATTACAAAATAATAATTTGTAACTGAATTTCTATCCGACCAAGTTCACAGTATCTTTAAGTTGTGAAGAGCGGAGTACACAAGGCTCTTTTAAGTAGGGGTGTCTGTTCTGTTCGGGTAACGGAACCCGAAAACTTGAAACTGTCATTGATTTGTAACCCGAACCCGGAATGCTGCCTTGCGGGTTTCGGGTACCCGGACTTGAAAATTGAGTTAGCAGTTTTGGTTCGGTTTGTTTGAACCAGAAAACCGAACCTTCTCCTCGTTGAGCACTCCGTCCAGCCGCACCTGTTGTTTCATTCTTAATTCCGGAACCCTAATTTCTCTACCATTCCTTCTTCTCCTCGCCTCCACTCCCACCAACACCTGTTGTTACTTTTTCATTTCTTCTCATCCTCACTTAGGGATGGCAACGGGTCGGACCGGGGACGGATATTTATTATCCACTCCCTAGCCATCAAGATGTATGGAAAGTAAATTCTGTACCATACTCATATCCGACGGGTATCGGGCGGGTATACATTTATCCACGGATAGTGAATTATTATTGAAAATTGGGTAGGTTAATTTATTAAGAGGCAGAGGAGAAATGAACATTATTGGAATCTTACTTCTGGTCATAGGTGTCAAAAAAGAACCCGACCCGATTAACCTGCCCGATTAACCCGACTCGCAACCTGACCGCAACACGAATTGACTAAAAGTCAACAACCCGACCGACCCGCAACCAGACTAACTCGTAACCCGATTAACTCAAACCCGATTGACCCGCAACCCGATTAAACCCGAACCCGATTAACTCTAACCCGATTGATCCAAACCCAACTAACCTGTAACCCGACCGACTCAACCCGAATTTCACCTAATCCACTTGAATGATTATTATATTATACAATACATAGTTTTTCAAAATAAAGTTTTTCATTCTAAACTTAGGTAAAATTTATTTTTCATTTCGTATAAGGGATTTAAAAAATTTGAAACATGAATGGCACTTGAACACTAAGTTCTTTAACTAAATTTAAAAAGTAAATATGAAATATAAAATAAACACAATGCCAATATTAATAATGAAGAATTAACAATTGAGATCATGGACAATATTAATATAATATATAAATTAAAATTTTGGTTAATTTAACTATTCAATAAAATTATCAATTACATATAAATAAAGTAAAGTAATGTATTTTGTAATATGATGCTATTAAAAGAATATGAAAATTTTGGTGTATTCAACTTTTTGAGAAGAGAAAGAAGAGGGAAATTTGGTTATTTGAATTTTTGAGAAAAGAAACAAGGGGGAATTTTGGTGGTTTTGATTTGTGGGAAGAGAAATAAGTGGGAAAGTTTGGTTCTTTTAATTATGAAAGAGAAATAAAGAGGGAAATTTTGAGTTTTCAACTTTTTGTGTAACGAAGGAAGAAAGAGCGAAATTTGGTTCTTCAATTTTATAAAAGAGAAAGAGGAGGGAAATTTGGTTCTTTCAATTTTATGGAAGAGAAAGAAGAGGGAAAATTGAGTGTTTCTAATTTATGGAAGGAGAAAGATGAGGGAAACTTGGTGTTTACCGCAATTATTTATTTTAGAAAAATTCACTTAATTTGTCTACTTGTTTTCTATGCTTCTACATTTATTGCAATTTCAACACTACATGATCGTTATTTTACAACACTTAGTAAAATTTTCGCACATTTAATTTGTGTTCAAGTTGAACTTTCATTTCAAAATGGGTGTTAAAATTGGCCTATTAAGTCTTACGATTGCAATAACTCAATCGAGTTGTGGGTTTGAAATTTTGATTAATCGGGTTGCGGGTCACTTTGGAATGGAAAATGAGAGAGAGGTTTGGATGAGAACTTTGGAATGAAAAATTTAAGGGTGGGTGAATATGACTATATGAGCCAACAATTATACTAAACTTGATAAGTAACTTTTGATGGTTTGTTGCGAATGAGTTGAGCCAAGTCGAGTTTTTGACTAGCTCAGCTCGAACTCGAATCCAAAATGACAAGCTCGAGCTCTGCTCGAATTTAAGACAAGTTGGTAATAACCAAACTCGAGCTCAGCTCGACCTCAATATAACCCAACTCGAGCTCGACTCAAACCATACTTGACAAGGGCTTGATAGCTAGCTCAACGAGCCAAATCAAATAAAAGGCTCGTCAAACAAACTTACTATCGTCACGGGCCTTATCAAACCAAAACTCGATAAAGACCTCAAAGAGGAGAGCCTTCATCTGACCCTAATAAGTCCATACTCGCGGCCCACTTCGATAGAGTAGCGCCACTAGAAAGACCAATTATGGATTTTGGTTTTTTAGAGGAAGCCACCACTATTACATAGGTGAATGAATATGGGTGCTTTCTTCATTTGTCGATGTGGTAGAATAGAAACTAATGTATTGCTCCTCTTCTACATCACCGCACTGCTGGCATCGCTGAATCCAAAACCCTCCATTAGAAGGGTTGACGAATAAATGCTACAATTTCTCTTCATTAGTTAAAAGAAACGGGATATTAGAGATTTGATTTGCATTTATGCTAGCTGCTGCAACCCCATTGAATTTTGCTTTTCTCATAATCCATTCACAGCAGCATCATCGCTGAATCCAAAACTCTCACGTTACTTCATGATGAAGCATGTACATTAATCATCAGTAAATTATCCCACAAGCTAATTGTGTTGGCTTGTTAATATAGCTCGTGAATCACGTTAGCGAGTTAGCTCGCGAGCTAGGCTCAACGAGTCATCGGGCTAAGCTAGCTTGCGAGCCTGACGAGTTGAGCTGGACCTAGCTTATGTTCGGCTCATTAGTAAATGAGCGAGTTAACGAGTCAGCTCATTAAGAACGAGCCGAGTATCGAACGAATATTTCTCGAGCCAAGCACCGAGTTGTTCGTGAGCGGCTTGGCTCATTTGCAGCCTTAGTTAGGGTATAGGGTATAAGGTACATATGGTTTAGCCTGTATATGGTTAGGGTATAAGATATTGATGGTTTTGACGGTTCTAAATTTTTTATTAACATATGTTCACTTGAAGTCATTTAAAATATTTAACAACAGGAGATCCCTTTTTAATTTATGTTTATGGTACGTGGTTAGGGTACAGGGTATATGGTGTAGAGTATATGATATATGGTTAGGGTATAGCAAATATCACTTTTTTATCTATGTTTCGAAAATCAAAGTATGAATTTCACTTTAAATTAACTATACCAGCAAAATCACAACTCATAAAGATATATGGTTAGGGTATATGGTATGTTGTTAGTGTATAATATATTGGTGGTTTATGGTATACGATTAATAACATATATTAACTTAATATCGTCGATTGAGAGTAAGGCTAAGTGTATAGGATATATGTTATTGAGTAAGTTATGATTGAAGTCACAACAATTTTACTAAATTTGATAGTTAATCTTTAATAGTTCAATTTTTAGGGTAATTTGAACAATTTTATAAATAACTCGGATGGCAACAGTTTACTGAAGTTATTAGAGCATTGAGTTATTTCGAAATAACTCCTTTTACCACTCTGTTTTTGCCAAATACCACACGCCAAATACCAGATTTGCATGGTTATTCTAAACGAAATACTATAATCCAATTACTACTGAATTAATATTAAAATACAAAATAAATAATTAATGGTGTCTTTTGGTTGCAAATGTTGATATAACCATTACTATTAGCTAGTGTACTTTACCAATTATGATTATTACTTACATAACTAGTTTGCAAGTCATATAAATTGATTCAACATTTTGACTATTTTTTTAGAATTAAGTATATATACGAGGTAGAAAGAAATTGGTTAAAAATTGAGAAAAATGTATTAAATTAGTGTAATAAAATGTGTAACTGTGTAACGAGTAAGGAGTAAGTTACTCGATGCGCTGACTCGAACAACCCGCAAACCGATCCGCCCGCAACCCGCCCGAACTAAAACCCGATGAACCCGCAACCCGACTAACCCGCAACCCGTTTGAATCCGAACCCGATGAACCCGAACCCGATAAACCCACAAAATTCGGGATTGCAACTTTTCGTGCGCAACTGCCAACCCAACCCAACCGATCACGTATTATGGTCGAACCATAACCCAAAATTCGGGGTGTTACACCGATGAACCCGCAACCCGTTTGAACCCGAACCCGATTGAACCCAACGCGAACCCGCCCGATTGACACCTATACTTCTGGTTATTAAATCTAGACGGGAAGGGTGAATCGTTTGAGAGAAAAAGGTGTCTAAGTTCGAAAGGGTAAATTGCAAATTTGGTCACTAGAAGTACTAAACAATTCATATTTGGTCACTAAAAGTATTTTATTTCATTCATGATCACTAAAATTAGTTTTTCAGTTCAATTTGGATCATCGTTAGTCTCCGTTAATTGTAGCTTATGTGTAATCAACTTTGAAAGTTAACCGTTAAATGAGTGACGTGGAAATAAAAAAATAAAATTTTTATAATTTCCACCTCATTTTCACCTCTATTAAACAATAAAAAATAATAATAAAATTCTATAATCCCCAAACTGGTTCGCAGTCACCAGTCACCACCGCATTGTCCTGCAACCGAGTTCCGTCGAAGGGAATTTGATCAAGGGCGGCTAAGGGGATTCGCTTCTTGCGATGAAGCTGGGGACAAAGAGCAGGAGAAACCGCTGGGATTCAATGGATGACATCTTGACGTTCAATGCGAGGCGAAGTGCGGGGATTTCTTCATCCTAATGTTGCCAGGCGAGAACGACGACCACCGTCTCAGCCCGTCTGTAATCGCCACCGTCCTCTTATCTCTCTCTGCGAAGCCAAATCCGAGGCAACCAGGGGTTTGGTCCTCACCACCATCTGAGGGCAGATTCTTCTCCGACGACCTAGATCAGGGTTGGGCCCCATCCGCCGGGTCCAGATCCGAATCTGCCGAGCAGCTCAACCACATGGACGACTCGTTGCGCCTAGGCCTGACTATTTGGTTCAAGCTTTTTGGTTTAATTCGAAACTGGACCGTTAAATCCGGATCAACACCGAACCGGGATCGGATAGCAAACAATTCAATCTAATATTCGGGCCTATATTTGAGGTAAAAAATCGTTTGGGACCCAACCGAAAACCGGATAAAGACCGGATAAGAGAGTCTAACACCCAAAATTTAACCTCATCACCCTTTCAGGCCTTAGGCCACTCAAATCCGTGCAAGCTCAATCTAAAATCAAGACCGAATTGGGACTGGACCGGTTCAAGACCCGACTAAAACATGTCGGGTGGTTGGGCGTAGGGGTGGAAATCGGTACGGTATCGGTATCCCAATACCAAATACCTATACTTATGGTTATTAAATCTAGACGGGAAGGGTGAATCGTTTGAGAGAAAAAGGTGTCTAAGTTCGAAAGGGTAAATTGCAAATTTGGTCACTAGAAGTACTAAACAATTCATATTTGGTCACTAAAAGTATTTTATTTCATTCATGATCACTAAAATTAGTTTTTCAGTTCAATTTGGATCATCGTTAGTCTCCGTTAATTGTAGCTTATGTGTAATCAACTTTGAAAGTTAACCGTTAAATGAGTGACGTGGAAATAAAAAAATAAATTTTTATAATT